CTCCACCTCAGCCTCACCAGTAGGAGGGACTACAGGCCTGTGCCACCACACCTGGTGAAACCTTGTCTTTACTAAAGACAATTTTTTTTACAAAAAAATTTTGTAAAAAATACAAAATGTTTGTGTTTTTTAGTAAAGATGAGGTTTCACCATGTTAACCAAGCTGGTCTTAAACTCCTGACCTCAGGTGATCCACCTGCCTCAGCCTCCCAAAGTGCTGGGATTACAGGTGTGAACCACCATGCCTGGTCAGAAAAACTCATAATACTTTAAGAAAGTTTAGCCTAGCATAATGGTGTATGTCTGTAATCCCAGCTACTCAGGAGGCTGAGGCTGGAGAATTACTTGAACCCGGGAGACGGAGGTTGCAGTGAACCGAGATCCACTGTACTGCAGCCTGGGCGACAGAGCAAGACTCCATCTCAAAAAAGAGAAAAAAAAAAAGAATTTACAAATTTGTGTTGGGTCTCATTCAAAGCCCATCCTGGGCCACAAGCAGCCTGCTGACCACAGGTTGGACAAGCTTGGTTGCAATCAAAAGAAGCATGCAATAATTACAGTGACAAACACTCTTGTTTAGAAAATCACCATGTAAGGTTACATTTGTGGTTGTTTATATATCTTGCTTGAAACTATGAAAAGACTGTTTAATTGCTACTCTGAAGAGCACCAGGTATAATCTAATCTATTTAGAAAGGTAATTCTTAAAAGCAGCAACTGTTTCAATGAAGGATTTTACAAGTTCATGCAAACTCCATACTTCCCCCAAGAAAAAACTTGGCCTTTTTAAGTACAAAGGGGAGATATTATGCAGACAAAAATATTCTGACTTTGTCAATGAGGGCAAATATGACATTTACCATTCATTAATGTTTACGATTTGCTAGGCACAGTTCCAGGCGTTTTACACCCATGATTTCATTTAATCCTCTTAACCTCTCAATGGGTATGATTATCCCTGTTTAACAGATAAGGAAACTGCTTTTTGGAGGTTAATTTCTTTTTTTTTTCTTTTTCTTTTTTTTTTTTTTTTTTTTTGAGATGGAGTTTCGCTCTTGTTACCCAGGCTGGAGTGCAATGGCGCGATCTCGGCTCACCACAACCTCCACCTCCTGGGTTCAGGCAATTCTCCTGCCTCAGCCTCCTGAGTAGCTGGGATTACAGGCACGTGCCACCATGCCCAACTAATTTTTTTGTATTTTTAGTAGAGATGGGGTTTCACCATGTTGACCAGGATGGTCTCGATCTCTTGACCTCGTGATCCACCTGCCTCGGCCTCCCAAAGTGCTGGGATTACAGGCTTGAGCCACCAAGCCCAGCCTGGAGGTTAATTTCTAATAATTTGCCAAATATCCCACAGCTTATAATGCACGAAAGCAGAATTTCAACCTATGTCTATCTAATTTTAAAGCCCAAGCTCCTAACCTTGAATAAATCAGTAGTGTTAGGTAAAACTGCAACCTTCTGATACTGTAAATATGGATGGCTTTCAAGTTGTCCCTATAGCGCTATTTTGAAACTGCTTTATTTTTCATTGCTGACGCAGGCAAAACACGAATACTTGTTCATTCAATAAAGTAACTGTACTCTGACCCTCCTTTCCTTTTATTTTTTTGAGACAGGGTTGTCTCTGTCCCAGGCTGGAGTTCAGTGGTGCAATCACAGCTCACTGAAGCCTTGAACTCCTGAACTCAAGCAAACCTCCCATCTCAGCCTCCCAAGTGAGACTACAGGCACATGCCACCATGCCTAGCTAAAAACTTTTTGTAGAAATGAGATCTCCCTATGTTGCCCAGGCTGGTCCCCAACTCCTGGCTTTAAGCTATCCTCCCACTTTGGCCTCCCAAAGTGCTAAGATTATAGGTGTGAACCACCGCACTTGCCCAGAGCCCCATTTTAAAAAATTTACAAAATCAATAAATTAGGTGTTAAGCAAGTCTAATCGGAATACAAAGGGAAAAGAATAAAAGCATTAAGCAACTTTGCAGATTTCTAATCATCTACTTGTGCCATTTTTATTGAGCATCTACTATGTGCCAAAAGGAAGATGTCATATATTGATAATATAAGGAGGATTCAGTCCCCACCCTGGGCATCAAGAAAACGGATAAATTATAACTCAACATGTTAAGTGTGGTCAGGGAGCGATCCACAAAGTTCTGTCAGAACACAGATCACCAGCATTCAACTTAACTTGTATGGGAGTCAGAATGGTTCACCAAGTACTTAAGTATCTGACATGTGAGCAGGGATGTACAGGAAAATTGTTTTCTGGGTGAAGGAGGAAATAGAGAAGAAAGGGCTTTCCATGTAGAGGCTTGAAGTTGTGTAAATACCTGACAAAATCCCAGGACAGAGGCTCTGTGTATGAGCAAGCATGTGTATGCGCATACGTACAGCAATTGGTATAGCAACTAGAAAAGGTACGTTGAAGGCCTGTAATCTAAATACTTTGGGAGGCCAAGGCAGGTGGATCACCTGAGGTCAGGAGTTTGAGACCAGCCTGGCCAACACGCTGAAACCCCATCTCTACTAAAAATATAAAAATTAGCTGGGTGTGGTGGCACGTGCCTGTAATCCCAGCTACTTGGGAGGCTGAGGCAGAAGAATCACTTGAACCCAGGAATTGAAGATTGCAGTGAGCCCAGACAGTGCCACTGCACTTCAGCTTGGGTGACAGAGTGAGACTCTGTTTCAAAAAACAAAGTAAAACAAAAAACCCAGACAGAATGGGTCTTGGCCTTCCAAAACTAAGAGGTCTGGATTTTATCCCGTAACAAGGTCAAAAAAGTTTTAAGCACATTTGTGTTTAGAAAGTAACTGAAAATTGATTGGAGTAGGGAGAAATGGGTGACAGGACACGAAAGCGAAATAGTCCCTGGGAAAGATGATAGGAATCTAAAGTATAAGGAGTAATAAAGGAAAGGACAATTCTGGCACAGGATAAGCAAGATGTGGTGACCAACTGGAAGTTAGTGATGAAAAACGACACAAAACAAAGACATGAAGATTTACACTTTAGGCAACTGAGCTGAGAGGGAAGCCATTAAGATTGAGAAAACAGGAGCACACTGGGAGGAACAGAATGAATTCCACCTTCAACCTGGAAGACATCCAGGTTGAGGGATGCATATTCTCTGGCTTAGGGTCAAAGGAACAGCCAATCATTTTCTCCTATCTAGGATACAAGGAAAGACTAGTCATTTCCCATAGTTACCCAACCCTTCTGAGCTTCTGACTGCCCTCAAGGTCCCATGCTTTCCCCTACACATAAAGAAGCCGTTTCATTTGCCTCCCCAAACCTGCCTCACTGACGCACTTTTATAGCATGGGGAACCTCAAGCAGTAAAATGGATTTCGGTAGCTCCCCGGTCTATTCTTCCATCTAAACAGACCGCACAGAAACTCAAAACATAAGCATTATCTTTCTATTAAACTATCTTTCCCGATTTTAACCAAATAAATATGAAGAATCTGTTAAATTAGCAATCAAAAAAACTAAGCCAGAATGCTAACTTATTACATTTATTTATAAGAAATACAATTTTCAAAGGAGCAGCTCTCACCCAAAAAAACAGCCCATTATCTCCCTGGAGCAGACGTAGACTGAAACTTAAACACTGTTTTGATCCTAACAGTGCTTACTGAAATGCCAAGAAATTAAAATAGTAATTAACGTAGCCACTGATTACCATGTAACTCTGGGTCACTATTAGTAACACAAGATTGAAGACTTCAAAAATGAGTGAAGATTGCTAAGGGTACCTTAAGAATAGGGTTATCTTCCCTATTCTACTTTCGAAATATGGGAGAAATGGGCGATTATACACAAAAATACATTCTCAGCTGGAACGTTACAATATATCATCACAATAAGCAAAAATAAAAATAGAAAAACATGCCCATGTTTCGAACATACTCAAGACAGAAAGAGCAACACTCACTAAATGTTTTAAATTGAGTCATTTCAACTGTTACAAAAATAGAAAACACACATACAATTCTTTAAACTGTGTCAAAACACAGGAAGGTAAGAATGAGATCAGCCCCCAAGCTGAGGGCAAAGTAAGTGGTGGGCATGGATAAACCAAACAAAAATAAACTCGACTTAACGTAGGGACAGTTTCACTGTACTGTACTTTGAATGTCCAGAGTACTTAAAGGGAAGGGAATCAGGACTATTCCCCTGGGCCTCAGTGGTCTTTCGTCTTAGAAATCTGTTGAGAAGAGGCAAGAGGTGGTGTGTGAATAAAAAAGGGAGGAGCAGTATTCCTTGGCGACCTGTCCGCGTCTCCTGACTGATGGAAGCAGGGACCAAACGCACGTTCCCAGGGTCTTAGAAAAGCCCTCCCCTCCCTCGGTCCAGCTGTTACCTTCCACTTCCTCCGTGCCCTCCATCAGCATATCCTTTGTAAAGTTTGAAATCTGGCCAGTGAGGGAAGCCAGGCTGCCCCCGACTTGACCTAGAGACTGGCCTAATCCGGAGCCGAGGCCCCCAAGCCAGGACGACATCGCGGCGAGTTTATAGAGAACGACCTGGTCCGCTCGGAAACAAAAAAAAAAACGTTTAGCGCCGTCAAAAGATCCCACCAAATATCCTCGGACGCCTGCCTTGGCGAGACTAGTCGAAAACACTCAGGATTCGATAACACAAAGCGGGGTTCTCAGGCAACGCCGGCTCCGGGTTCTGCCTAGAAACGCGAAGGCCTGGCCTGGAATTTTACCAGGGGCCTGCCTCTACTGACACAGTCACCCATGGAGGGCCTTCTGCTCATTCCCACGAATTCCCACCGTCCAGATTGGGCCACTTCTTCCTCTGCTCTAGTGAGTTTCCCCAGTTTCGTGGGCTACTCCTGCCAACTCGACCCAGACCGCCATGACACTCGGTCAGAGAAGCGGCAGAGGATCATAGAAAGGCACCACGGTGGCGTAGACAGGCCCCGCGACGCCGCCGGATGTGTCCTTGGCGCAAGGGAGGCTGGGAACCTGGAGGACCGAGCGCGGACTGGACTGAGAGCTGCCGGCTTCGGCCGCGGGTGGAATAGCCCGGAGAACCAGGGAATCGCGGCGCTTTTCGGCCTCCTGCAGCTGCGTTTCAAAGCAGAGCCGACCCTTGGTGGGTATCCCGGGGACCCTGCGGACCCTCCTTGTGTTGTTGAAACCGAGTGTTTTTAGAATTTATTTATTTTATCTTTTTCTTTTTTTTTTTCTTTCTTTTTTTTAAAGACGGGGTTTCACCGTCTTGGCCAGGCTGATCCTGAACTCCTGACCTCAGGTGATCCGCCCGCCTCGGCCTCCCAAAGTGTTAGGATTACAGGCGTGAGCCACCACACCCGGCCGAAACCGAGTGTTTAAATTGGGACTACACCCAGCGAAGCCGGGAGACTTGGGTTCCACTGTGCAGGAAGCGGCTTCAAATAACTCACACGCGTCACTGTATCGATTAGCTGCTCCCTGACAGGCACTATGGTGGGAACTGAGGCTACAAAGATAGAAAGGGTGGGTTGCAAAAAAAATAAAATAAAGGATGGGTTGCAAATTCAAGTTTCCAAGCAGGAAACACACTTGCCCTCTATGGGACAAATCTCCTCTGGTGGCTTTCTAGTTCACAATTGAAACCCTACCTTCTTTGACATACGATGAGCTTTTTTCATTAAGCTGCCCTCACCCAAGTAGTTGAAAAACGGACAACCTTTTTTTCAAAATGACTCGTTAGAGGACAGCAGGGCAACTTGATAGAGAAGTGCCTTTTAGTGTCAACGCACCCGTGGTACTGGCGGCACTAGCTATACAAATGCCCACACTGTGGCTGTAACAGTGTCCTGCCTTGCCTGCTTCCTTCCCTAAAGGAAGAAAAGCTGTCATGTGACTTTCAAGCAATTGGTGCATGATACGTGGACACACAGCACCTAGCCAGGGAGACATACACATATTTTGGTTTCAAAAGGATGTGATTGGTCTGCAGTTCTTTTAGCATAGCAATAAGTATACTGGCATCTTTCACTTTGATTTTATTCACAAGGCGGGCTACCACAGATCGCACAGTTTGTGAATAGAACACTGGGAATGCCTCCAGTATTTGGGATCTGATAGCACCGGGCAATAGGAGTTTTCCCTGAAAGCTGAAATTATTTTATTTTATTTTTTTACATCCAGGAGTCACCCTGGATATCTGAATGTGCTTAAAATCAAATTTACATCTCATTCAGGAAGTGTTTATTAAATCCTTTCCCTGCATTCATGTGAAAGACATCATATCCAGTGGTTAGATGTGCAGACTCCGAGGCCTGACTGCTTGGGTCTGTCACTTATTAGCTGTTTGACCTGGGATGGGTCAGTGAACCTTTCTGTGCACTGGTTTCTCAAAGTAAAGTGGAGAATGGTAATAGTAGTACTTACTAGGTGTGATTGTATGAGGATTAAATGAGGTAGTATTTGTAAGTACTTGAAACTTTGCCCGGTATATGGTGACTTCTATTTAAGTGTTTGCAAAGCTTTTTAAAATGGGGCATACTGATGATAAGCAACTTGTTAATGTGCTTACCATTGTTCTGGGAACAGGATACAGCAAGAGGAAAAAAAATTGCTTCATCTTATGAAGCATTCATTCTACTGGGAAGGTATAGATACTAAATAAAATGAAATAAATGTAAGACAGGTGGTGATGGCTACTGTCAGGGTGTGAGTGGGGGCAAACAAATAAAACAGGGTGAAGCAAGCCCCAGTGGCTCACACCTGTAATCCCAAGCAATTTGGAAAGCCGAGGCAGGAGGATCACTTGAGCTCAGGAGTTGGAGACAAACCTGGCCAACATGGCAAAACCCCATCTCTACCAAAAAATACAAAAATTAGCTGGGCATGTTGGTACCTAGCTGTAGTCCCAGCTACTAAGGAGGCTGAGGTGGGAGGATTGCCTGAACCTGGGAGGTCAAGGCTGCAATGAGCCGCGTGATCATGCCAGTGCACTCCAGCCTGGGCAACAGAGCAAGAGACCCTTTTCCAAAAAAAAAAAAAAAGGCCAGGCGCAGTGGCTCACGCCTGTAATCCCAACACTTTGGGAGGCCGAGGCAGGTGGATCACGAGTTCAAGAGATCGAGACCATCCTGGTCAACATGGTGAAACCCCGTCTCTACTAAAAATACAAAAAATTAGCTGGGCATGGTGGCGCGTGCCTGTAATCCCAGCTACTCAGGAGGCTGAGGCAGGAGAATTGCCTGAACCCAGGAGGCGGAGGTTGTGGTGAGCTGAGACTTCGCCATTGCACTCCAGCCTGGGTAACAAGAGCAAAACTCGGTCTCAAAAAAAAAAAAAAAAAAAAAAAAAAAAAGACATAGGAAGGATGTGTGGAGAGGGGATACTTGTAATGTTGTAGAGGGTGATCAAGGAAGGCCTCACTGATAAAGTAATCTTTGCACAGAAACTTGAAGGAAGCAAGAGAGTCAGACATCTTGGCTGCTTATGCCTGTAATCCCATCATTTTGAGAGGCCAAGAGGGGAGGATTACTTGAGCCCAGGAGTTCAGAGCCCAGGAGACCAGCCTGGGTAACATAGCAAGATCTCATCTATATGAGAAACTAAAAAAAAAATGGCTGGGGTGCAGTGGCTTATGCCTGTAATCCCAGCATTTTGGGAGGCCAAGGTAGGTGGACCCCCCTGAGGTCAGGAGTTCAAGACCAACCTGGCCAACATGATGAAACCCCATCTCTACTAAAAATACAAAAATTAGCAGAGTGGGGTGGTGGGCATGTGTAATCCCAGCTACTTGGGAGGCTGAGGCAGAAGAATCACTTGAACCCAGGAGGCGGAGGTTGCAGTGAGCGGAGATCACACCACTGCATTCCAGCCTTGGCGACAGAGTGATACTGTGTCTCAAAAAAAAAAAAAAAAGAACAAAGGCCGGGCGCGGTGGCTCAAGCCTGTAATCCCAGCACTTTGGGAGGCCGAGGCGGGTGGATCACGAGGTCGAGAGATCGAGACCATACTGGTCAACATGGTGAAACCCCGTCTCTACTAAAAAAAAAAATACAAAAAAATTAGCTGGGCATGGTGGCACGTGCGCCTGTAATCCCAGCTACTCAGGAGGCTGAGGCAGGAGAATTGACTGAACCCAGGAGGCAGAGGTTGCGGTGAGCCGAGATCGCGCCATTGCACTCCAGCCTGGGTAACAAGAGCGAAACTCCGTCTCAAAAAAAAAAAAAAAAAGAACGAGACATGTAGGTATTTGGGAATCCAGGCAGAAAGAAATAGCTGATGCAAATATCTTGAGACAGGAGAATCCTTGGCAGATTAGAAAATTAGAAGGAAGTCAAGGATGGCTGGTACAGAATGGGCTGGAAATGGTTTGCAAGCAATGAGGATCCAGAGTTAGGGTGTTAAAGTGAGGAGATCACACAGGGCCTGGTAACCCATTGTAAGGACTCTGGCTTTTACTCAGATTGGGATGGGGAGTGACATAAACTTAAGACCTAATTCAGTTCCTGGGTGACAGTGAAAAGATTAGCTATTGTAAATTGAGCTTATATTTTATATAGGTGTACATTCTCTGGATTTCCATTTCTGTAAATTCATATGCCATAAAAAACAACCCTTTTTCAAAACCTTTTTTCTGCAATTAATGAAGAAAATAAATGCAAATATATGCCTTTACATCATATATTAAGTAATGAACATAAAACTTATGTCCTAAAAGAGGTTTCTCATGGGGGATTTCTTTCTGTGAGATGGATTATGACCCAAGAAACTTAATAGATGATATTGGTAAATAATGTGATGTGATATCTTGGATGTGCTTCAAAATAATGGACGTTGACTTTGCTCCTGTGTGTGTGTGTGGGTGTGTGGGTGTGTGTGGGTATGTGGTTTGTGTGTGTGTATAATAGATGTGGGGTAGGTGAAATAAGAATTGTCAGAAACATAATTGTTGAAGCTGGAGGGTGGGTACATAAGGGGTCATTAAACTAGTCTTTTGCTTTTGCATATGTTGGAAATTTTTTATATCTCTATAGCTAACATATTGCTCTTCGTCACTCAATAAGCAGGAAAACCAACCCAGCACAATAGAATACAACACCTCAAACAGCCCGTGAACCTCAGTGGCTACAGGTGGTTCGATTGAAGCTGAACTTCTGAACCTAGGATTTTTTGAAACCTCAATGTATAGAACAGGAAAAAAGACAAAAAATAACTATGAGCTGCAAGCTGGTTTCCATTTTTCAAGCAGTGGGATCATCAGTATTCCTCAGGGGAAAGTAGTTCATCTGTTTGTTTGTTTGAGAGGGAGTCTCGCTCTGTCACCCAGCCGGAGTGTAGTCGTGCGACTTCCGCCTCCTGATTCAAGCAATTCTCCTGCTTCAGCCTTCTGAGTAGCTGGGATTACAAGCGGGTGCCATCGCCCCCGGCTAATTTTTTGTATTTTTTTTAGTAGAGACAAAGTTTCACCGTGTTGGCCAGGCTGGTCTCAAACTCGTGACCTCAAGAGATCCATCCACCTTGGCCTCCCAAACTGCTAGGATTACAGGCATGAACCACTACACCCAGCCAGTTCATCTGTCCTGAGAAAACCATCAAAATGAATTTATTTATGCAATTAAAAGCAAAAACTAAATTTTAAAGTAGACTTTAAAATTTAGTCTGTTATTTCTCTGAATTTCTAAGCATTAGGCTTATGATTGCCATTTTCTTATTAATTTTAGACATTACCAACTTTCTGTTATGGAAAAATAAAAGATTTAGCACTCTTGTATTTCCCCATGTCTTTATTTCCCTTCCTTCAGGCTTTCAATATGGTGATACCATAATTATTGGTAAAGTAAGTAATCAATGTTTACCTTACATGACTATATATATCTTATTCACTGCAGCTGAGTTAAATGGTGTACTAAGATTATATTGCCTTGATTTTTCTACCTTTTGTTCTTCCTGAAGTTAACAGATTCCATTTTTTAAATTTGCACAATTTTTCATTACTACAGAATCTTTCTAAAACTTCCCAAGAGCATTGTAAAGTGCTTCTGTTTTCAACAAACATCGGCCGGATGCAGTGGCTCACGCCTGTTATCCCAGCACTTTGGGAGGCTGAGGCAGGCAGTTTGAGACTAGCCTGACCTAGTGGAAAAACCCCATCTCTACTAAAAATACAAAATTAGCCGGGGGTCTCGGGGGAGCCGTGGTGGCGCATGCCTGTAATCCCAGCAGGAGGCTGAGGCAGGAGAATCACTTGAACCCAGGAGGCAGAGGTTGCAGTGAGCTAAGATTGCGCCATTGCATTTCAGCCTGGGCAACAAGAGGGAAACTCTGTCTCAAGAAAAAAAAGAAAATCAAGAATTCTGTCGTGGCTGGGTGCGGTGGCTCACGCCTGTAATCCCAGCACTTTGGGAGGCCAAGGCGGGTGGATCACAAGGTCAAGAGATCGAGATCATCCTGGTCAGCATGGTGAAACCCCATCTCTACTAAAAATACAAAAAATTAGCTGGGTGTGGTGGTGCGTGCCTGTAATCCCAGCTACTCAGGAGGCTGAGGCAGGAGAATTGCCTGAACCCAGGAGGCGGAGGTTGCAGTGAGCCAAGATCATGCCATTGCACTCCAGCCTGGGTAACAAGAGGGAAACTCCATCTCAAAAAAAAAAAAAAAAAGAATTCTGTCAATTGGCTAGACTCAGTTCTCTCTACCCAGGACCCTATTTTCCTGCTGTAATCTCCACATTCACTGTGCCTTTTTTTCTTCCAAGAAGCTTGTCATATCTTTTCTTTATGTCTGATTCTCTGAAATTAATAATGATGTGCTTTGGTGTGGGTTTTTGTTTCATACATTATGCTGGGTACCCTGAGCCCTTTCCAAAAGAGCTTTTAGTTCTGCAAATTATTATTATTAATTTATTTATTTATTGAGACAGAGTTTTGCTCTGTTGGGACAGGTGCCCACCACCATGTTCGGCTAATTTTTTGGTATTTTCACCATATTGGCCAGGCTGGTCTTGAACCCCTGACCTCAGGTGATCCACCCGCCTCGGCCTCCCAAAGTGCTGGGATTACAAACATGAGCCACCTCATGGCCACAAATTATATATGTGTGTGTGTGTGTGTGTGTGTGTGTGTGTGTGTGTGTGTGATGAATGTTTCCTTTCTAAGGAATCTGCTATTTCTTTTTTTTTTTTTTTTCTTTTTTTAAAGATGGGGTTTCACCATGATGGTCAAGCTGGTTTTGAGCTCCTAACCTCAGGTGATCCACCCACCTCAGCCTCCCAAAGTGTTAGGATTACAGGTGTGAGCCACTACGCCCAGCAGGAATCTGCTATTTCTTTCTTTCTTTTTTTTTTTGTTGAGACAGAATCTCCCTCTGTCACCCCAGACTGGAGTTCAGTGGCACAATATCGGCTGACTGCAATCTCCACCTCCAGGGTTCAAGGGATTCTCCCGCCTCAGCCTCCCAAGTAGCTGGGATTATAGGCACCCACCATCATGCCCGGCTAATTCCGCTGTTTCTTTCAAAGAGTTTTAGCTACACCTCCTGATTTCAGTCTACATCTAACCCTCACCTCCCAGGATACTTGTTGCTGTCCTTTCCTGCATACTGCTAGAACCTCTTAAACACTCAGTATTCAGCTTCCTGGTTCTGCTCATTCCTACATCAACTTGTCATCTTCCAAAAAAAAAAAAAAAAAAAAAAAAAGCATCTCTCTTCTGTTGTCTCACCTGGAAATGACTGCTAATTGTTCCCCAAAGTCTGTTCTCCCCTTCATATATAGTTATTGAGCCCCCATTTTTTACCCGGATGCATGACAGCCAAGATGCCAGTGCCCCTATTGCACCCCTCATCCCTTTACCACGTTTGTGCACACCAGCCAGCACCTGTGTCTCTGTCAGCAGGCTGCCTCCAGGCTACTGGAGCCCATACTTTCTAGGTAACCAGAAAGCTGAAACGCAACCTTATTCAGCAGGTGTTGAAAATTATATGCAGTTTGCCTGTCCTGTTTTGGACTAAGATGTGAATATCCTGCCTCCGGACTGTCTGCAAGGCTGAGGCTTTGCTTGATATGATCACCTTCCTTGGTTTCCTCCCTTCCTATTTCCACTTTCTTACTCCTCTGTGTCCTTTCCGCTTTTTCTTGGAGTACTTTTTTTTTTTTTTTTTTTTTTTAATACCCGCTCCCCTTCCTGGAGTACTTTTAAAAGATTATTTTCAACCAGACACAGTGACTTATACCTGTAATCCCAGCACTTTGGGGGGCCGAGCCAGGCAGATCACTTGAGGTCAGCAGTTCGAGACCAGCCTGGCCAACATAGTGATATGCCGTCTTTTCTAAAAATACAAAAATTAGCTGGGCATGGTGGCAGACACGAGCTACGCAGGAGGCTGAGACAGGAGAATCACTTGAACCCGGGAGGCAGAGGTTGCAGTGAGCCAAGATCACACAACTGCACTCCAGCCTTTGAGACAGAGCAAGACTCTGTCTTAAAAAAAAAAAAAAAAAAGTTAAGTGGTATGCACAACTTTGAGAAAGTAACCCAAAAGAAAAGACATATAGCCTTTTTCTGATCTTTGTTTGTTTGAGATAGGGTCTCACTCTGTTGCCCAGGCTGGAGTTCAGCATCCTGAATAGCTGAGACCACAGGTGCACGCCACAACACCTGACTAATTCATTTTTATTTGTTGTAGAGATGAGGTCTCTCTATGTTGCTCAAGCTAGTCTCAAACTCATGGGCTCAAGCGATCCTCCCGCCTTGGCCTCCCGAAGTGCTGGGATGACAGGTGTGAGCCACCAAACCTGGCCTCCTTTCTCTTTCTGCAGCATGGGCACCAGCACAGCCGTATTAGATCCATGAGCTGACCTCAGCCATGGAAGCCGTGTATGTACAGTCATTATGTCAGAGGTGTGTAAACCAGAGCAACTCCGTCTTAAATAGGAGCTGGGTAAAATGAGGCTGAAACTTACTGGGCTGCATTCCCAGATGGTTAAGGCATTCTAAGTCACAGGATGAGATACAAGGTCAGCACAAAATACAGGTCATAAAGAACTTGCCCATAGATCAGGTTGCAGTAAAGGAGCTGACCAAAATCCACCAAAACCAAAATGGCCATGAGAGTGAACTCTGGTCCTCCTCAGTGTTATACTCCACCAGCGCCATGACAGTTTGCAAATACCATGGCAACATCAGGAAGTTACCCTAAATGGTCTAAAAAGGGGAGACATACATAATCCACTCCTTGCTTAGCATATCATCAATAAATAACCATAAAAATGGGCAACAAGCAGCCCTTGGGCCTGTTGTGTCTATGGAGTAGCCGCTCTTTTATTCTTTTACTTTCTTAATTCCTTTACTCTCAATAAACTTGCTTTCGCTTTGCACTTCAGATTCACCCTGAATTCTTTCTTGCGTGAGATTCAAGAACCCTCTCTTGGGGTCTGGATCAGGACCCCTTTCCTGTAACAATTACAGAGAAAGAGCAGATTCCTGACACTGATGCTGTATCATCCCTGGACTGGCGGCCTCCACATTTTTTGAAGATTGGAGGAGAAAAAAACCCGTAGCACATAAAGTCACTGTTATATTAGTTTTTATTATTACAGCCGAACCTAATACAATGAATGCATCTCCTCTCCTGGTTCCTGAATTCTTATATATTTGTCTTGTCTTTCACCTAGGTGGCATTTTGGAAGGGAGCAAATACAGTGATCAATCTTCTGTATTTTTTTGTGGTAAGATATACATAACACAAAATCGACATTTTTAACCATTCTCAATTGTTAAATGGTTATACAGTCCACTGGCATTAAGCACATTCACGTTGTACAGCCACCACAACTCATTCACGTTGTACAGCCACCACAACTGTCCATCTTCAGAACTTTTTTCATCTTCCCAGACTGAAACTCCATATTCGTTATTTTTTTCTTTCTTTTTTTTTTTTCCATATTCGTTAAATGACTCCCAATTTTCCCCTCTACTATCCTCCTGGCAACCACCATTCTATTTTCTGTCTTTATGAATTTGACTATTCCAAGGATCTTATATAAATGGAATTATACAGTAGATATCCTCTGTATTTAACTAGAAGCCCCTGGAAGATGTGTGAGATGGTGGTTCAAAGCAGTTAAATTTAGTCAGGCACGGTGGTTAATGCCTGTAATCCCAGCACTTTGGGAGGCCAAGGTAGGCAGATCACCTGAGTTCAGAAGTTCTAGACCAGCCTGGGTAACATGGCAAAACCTCGTCTCTACTAAAAATACAAAAATTAGCTGGGTGTGGTGGCCCGCGCCTGTAATCCTGGCTATTCAGTGGCTGAGGCAAGAGAACTGCTTGAGCCCGGGAGGCAGAGGTTGCCGTGAGCAGAGATGATACCACTGCACTCCAGTCTGGGCAACAGAATGAGGCCCTGTCTCAGAAGGAGTGGGGAGGGGGTTCAGTGTTGGAGACAGAGGTACCCCTGTGCAGAATTCAAACACAGCTTTTGGAAAAAGTGGATTTGAAGAAGGTACAAAAGCAATGGAGGTGGCACAGAATCTGCTCCCTCCTGGCCTGCACTAGTTTTGAGCCGCTTTAGAAGGATGAACCTGGCTGAACCGTTTTCTAGGAGACTTAGCAGGACTCTGGGCACAAGAAGAGCTGCTTGGGGCCATGTGGTGACATGTGGCTCAGGGCTGAGACAAGGAAGGTCCATTCCTCTGTGCTCAGCTTGGATTATAGTACCTCTCTGGTATTCAAGAATTTGACATTTTTGGGCTCGGTATTTTTCCATCTTATTTTTTAACCAGGTTAATGCTGGTGTGTGTTAAAACGTACACTTTGAACGAAGAGACCCTCCAAATAGGCTTTGTGTGAGCAACATGGCTGTTTATTCTCCTGTGCAGGTGGGCTGAGGCTGAAAAGGACATCAGCAAAGGGTGGTGGAATAGGAGTTGGTTTTATAGGTTGGGGCAAATCTTTTGGAGATGGGGCAGGGGTGTAACAGAGTAAGATCAGTTACAGTGTTGGGGGTAAGGGCAAGGAGTATCATTACCATAAGTTCAGTTACAACGGTGGGTTAGGTAAGGCGTAAGAGTAGTTAAGATGGTAGGGTGGGGTGGAGGGGTATTCACAGAGCAAGAACAGTTAAGATGGCAGGGTGGGGTGAGAAGCTTAATGTCCAGGGGAAGCTCTGCTGGGCCATCAGGGACAATGGTGAATGCAAGGGGACGGGGAGATCAGCTGAGGCAGGCAGGACTTCAGACTTTCTGGGTCCAGGCCTGCACATGGAGGCCTGACAGTATGTAAAAAAGCTATTGGTTTTCTTTGATGGATAAATGAATAAGCAAAATGTGTATATATCATACAATGGAATATTATTCAGCTTTTAAAAAGAAAATTTGGACATACACTACAACATGGATGAACCTTGACATGCTCATTGAAATGCACTAGTCACACAAAAAAAGTACAAATACCGCGTAATTCCTCTTACATGAGATACTTAGAATCAAAGAGACAAAGTACAATGGTAGTTGTCATGGGATGGGGAAGGGAGAAAGCATAGGGAGCAGTACTGACGATTGAGCTCCTCTCTACCCTAATACAAGAGACTCTCTCTTTTTTTTTTTTTTTTTTTTTTTTTTTTTTGAGACGGAGTTTCGCTCTTGTTACCCAGGCTGGAGTACAGTGGCGCGATCTCGGCTCACTGCAACCTCCGCCTCCTGGGTTCAGGCAATTCTCCTGCCTCAGCCTCCTGAGTAGCTGGGATTACAGGCACGCACCACCATGCCCAGCTAATTTTTTTTTTGTATTTTTTAGTAGAGACGGGGTTTCACCATGTTGACCAGGATGGTCTCGATCTCTTGACCTCGTGATCCACCCGCCTCGGCCTCCCAAAGTGCTGGGATTACAGGCTTGAGCCACCGCGCCCGGCTCTAAGAGACTCTCATAGTTAGGCAGGAATATTGTCACCCTTATTCAGCCTGTCGAAGTTACAGAAGATGGATCTTCATCTTTCTGCAACCCTTAGGATTAAGGGTTTTCTTATAAAAAGGGAGGTGGGAAAATGTCAGAGGTGTTTGAACCAGAGCAACTTCATCTTGAATAGGGGCTGGGTAAAATGAGGCTGAGAACTACTGGGCTGCGTTCCTAGATGGTTAAGGCATTCTAAGTCACAGGATGAGAGAGAAGGTCTGCACAAGATACAGGTCATAAAGACCATCCTGATAAAACAAATTGCAGTAAAGAGGCCGGCTAAAACCCACCAAAGCCAAGATGGCGATGAGAGTGACCTCTAGTCCTTCTCAGTGCTACACTGCCATTAGCACTATGACAGTTTACAAATGCCATGGCAATGTCAGCAAGTTACCCTAAATGGTCTAAAAAGGGGAGGCATGAATAATCCACCCCTTGTTTAGCATATCATCAAGAAATAACCTGCTGGGCGTGATGATTCATGCCTGTAATCCCAACACTTTGGGAGGCCAAGGTAGGCAAATCATGAGGTCAAGAGATAGAGACCATCCTGGCCAACATGGTGAAACCCTATCTCCACTAAAAATACAAAAATTAGCTGGGCATAGTAGTGTGTGCCTATAATCCCAGCTACTCAGGAGACTGAACCAGGAGAATCACTTGAATCCGAGAGGCAGAGGTTGCCGTGAGCCGAGATCATGCACTCCAGCCTGGCGACAGAGCGAGACTGTCTGAAAAAGAAAAGGAAGAAATAACCATAAAAATGGGCAACCAGCAGCCCTTGGGGCTGCTCTGTCTATGGAGTAGCCATTCTTTTCTCTACTTTCTTAATAAACTGGCTTTCAATTTATGGACTTGCCCTGAATTTTTTCTTGCGCAAGATACAAGAACCCTCTCTTGGGGTCTCAATCCAGACCCCTGTCCTGTAACATTATGTTTCAAAACTTTCACCCAATCCTAATTAAGGCTAAAATAAATAGACAACCCTCATAAAATTTGAGGACAATATATTCCTCAATCAGTCTAGGTGGATTCCAATATTACATTTGGATTCTGGTGTCCAGAGTTCGATAAATTGAAGAAAAGCAGCACTCTTAAAAATTGCTACTAATGTTTTGTTTGGCCCTAAGGGTTAAAAATCAACTGAGCAAACATTTATTATTTATTACTTTCTTTTTTTTTTTTTGAGACGGAGTTTCGCTCCTTACCCAGGCTGGAGTGCAATGGCGCGATCTTGACTCACTGCAACCTCTGCCTCCTGGGTTCAGGCAATTCTCCTGCCTCAGCCTCCTGGGTAGTTGGGATTACAGGCACGTGCCACCATGCCCAGCTAATTTTTTGTATTTTTAGTAGAGACGGGGTTTCACCATGTTGACCAGGATGGTCTCGATCTCTTGACCTCATGATCCACCCGCCTCGGCCTCCCAAAGTGCTGGGATTAGAGGCGTCAGCCACCGCGCCAGGCTATTTATTGCTTTTTAAAGGCAGGATTCTGTATGTTTTTAATAGAGATGGGGTGTTTTCCTATGTTGCCCAGGCTGGACTCGAACTCCTGGGCTCAAGGGATCCTTCCACCTTGGCCTCTCAAAGTGCTGAGATTAAAGGCTTGAGCCACTGGCACCGGGCCAATTGAGCAAACATTTAAAAATCAGATTGCAGCCGGGCGCGGTGGCTCAAGCTTGTAATCCCAGCACTTTGGGAGGCCGAGGCGGGAGGATCACAAGGTCAAGAGATCGAGACCATCCTGGTCAACATGGTGAAACCCCGTCTCTACTAAAAATACAAAAAAATAGCCGGGCGCGGTGGCTCAAGCCTGTAATCCCAGCACTTTGGGAGGCTGAGGCGGGTGGATCACGAGGTCAAGAGATCGAGACCATCCTGGTCAACATGGTGAAACCCCGTCTCTACTAAAGATACAAAAAATTAGCTGCGCATGGTGGCGCGTGCCTGTAATCCCAGCTACTCAGGAGGCTGAGGCAGGAGAATTGCCTGAACCCAGGAGGCGGAGGTTGTGGTGAGCCGAGATCGTGTTATTGCACTCCAGCCTGGGCAACGAGAGCGAAACTCCTTCTCAAAAAAAAAAAAAAAAAAAAAAAAAAAAAAAAAAAAAAAAATCAGATTGCAAATGAAAATTTGGAATTCCTAGCTCCTCTTGCTAAAGACTGAGGATCCAGTAATAATGGACCTTTTGGCAGCAGTAAACTGGAATAGATGGACTGTGCTGGCCTGCATTATTCATATTGTTAAAAACAATCCATAAAATTGTGCTTCTCAAGCTTCACTCTACACTTTAGTCTCCTGGGGATCTTGTAAAAAGTCAAGTTCTGAGGCCGGGTGTGGTGGCTCACGCCTGTAATCCCAGCATTTTGGGAGGCTGAGTCGGGTGGATTACCTGAGGTCAGGAGTTCAAGACCAGTCTGACCAACATGGTGAAACCCCGTCTTTTTAAAAAAAAAAAAAAGGCCGGGCACAGTGGCTCAAGCCTGTAATCCCAGCACTTTGGGAGGCCGAGGCGGGTGGATCACGAGGTCAAGAGATCGAGACCATCCTGGTCAACATGGTGAAACCCCGTCTTTACTAAAAATACAAAAAAATTAGCTGAGCATGGTGGTGCGTGCCTGTAATCCCAGCTACTCAGGAGGCTGAGGCAGGAGAATTGCCTGAACCCAGGAGGCGGAGGTTGTGGTGAGCCGAGATTGCGCCACTGCACTCCAGCCTGGGTAACAAGAGTGAAACTCTGTCTCAAAAAAAAAAAAAAAAAGTGTACAAGTTCTGA